TAACTTTAAATATCACCCAAACAGGCTACACAGGCACAGTTTATTTTCAGGGGTATAGAAAAATACTGTCATTATGCCTTAATACTCTAGTGGATTTCTATACTGCAGTAGGAAGTTTCATAAACATTCTGAATTTAGCAATTTTTAAAAGGATATGTAGGTCCTGAAACTAGAAAAAAGTAGAATTGGAAATCAAATTGTTTCTTTAATCCAAACTACAAAATGTTTTTAGGGTGTATATTATACTATCATGGTTGAGGCTGGTAAATGTAAAAACAACAAACAAACAAAACCAGGAACAAAATGGATCTGCTTGTGTTGTCAATGTCAGGTATTATGATCCAAAATACAGGAGGTATGCTAGCTGCTCAGAAAGAGTCCAGCAGTTAAATAGTGCTCCTTACTGTCTCTGAACCATGAGGGTGAATCTGGGAGGGATGGGGTTAGGAATTGAATATGTTTAAAGACATTCTCAATGAACTAATACAGTGAAAAAGAAAAGAGCTGGAAGCAAAACATGAAAAACAGTTCACAGGTCACTTTCAAATTAGAAATTAGATGTTGTGAATGTGCAGGTACAATTTAGGCAAGAAGTGGAGAACCAACTTTCCTCAAAGACTTTAGGGACATTAAGAATTAATTTAGAGCCTTGTGGTGGTGGCTCATGCCTTTAATCCCAGCATGTGGGAGGCAGAGACACGTGGCTTTCTGTGAGTTCAAGGGCAGCCTGGACAGATTGAGTTCCAGAACAGACTCCAAAGCTACCCAGAGAAAACCTGTCTTGAAAAAAAATTAAATTTACAGGATCCAGCCATGTTTTTCATCTTGGCGCATTCCAATTCTTTTTTAACCATGCTTAAGTATGTGTCACTTCTAAATTTGCAAAGGCATACCTGTCTGCAATTTCTAACTGGGCTGCTGTTACTGTTAAGAGTTCACTAGCCATAATGCTGTCCTGTTTAAGAATGTTTACTTTGGAAAATGAATAATGATGCCTCTTTAACTGTAATTCCCTGCCTCATGCCTTTCATATCCAATGTTCTTTAGGAGGTAGAGCAGTTATATTTGTTGATAACAGTGCACAGAGTTTATGTGGTGTCTCTTCCCAGAGCTGTGATAGAGGCACCAGTACTCTGAGATGCTGAGTGACTGGGTCACACTCGTGACACTGTCCCCTCAAATTTAGACATAAGGTGAGGGTTTGTCTCTCTTTATTATGCTATCTTGATGTTCTAAAGATAAGCAAACCAAATATATATAGCTATGATACTGGGTAGTAAATTAATTGCCCAATAAAGACTGTTCTTAAGACTAACACAATTAAGAGATTTTTTGAAACACATTTTTATTATATATTTAAATTAGAAACAAGGTTGCTTCCCATGTCAGTCCCAGCTCCCTCTCCCTCCCCTCAATGCCTGCCTCCTCCCACTAACCCCCCCACCCCCTGCTCAATCCATACTCCATTTCCCATGGAGACTAAGGCCCTCCATGGGGCATCTCTAGAGTCTATCATTTCATTCTATGGAGGGCCCAGGTCCTCCTCCAAGTGTCCAGATTGAGACAGCATCCCTTGTTTTGGGATGGACACCCAAAGTCCATGTGTGTGCCAGGGATAAATACTGATCTACTACCCAAAGCCCTATAGATTGCCTAGGTCTCCTTACTGACATCCACATGGGTCTTGATCAGTCCCATGCTGGCCTTTAGCTATCTGGATGGTGTCCAAGATCTTTCCCTTGTTCAGGTCAGCTGCTTCTTTGGATTTCACCAGCCCAGTCTTGACCCTTTTGCTCATCACTCCTCCCTATCTGTCACTGGGTTCCAGGAGTTCAGTTCAGTGTTCAGCTGTGGGTGTCTGCCTCTGCTTCTATCTGTCACTGGATAGAGGTTCTAGGATGGTATATAGGATAGTCATCAAAATCATTATAAGGAAGGGATATTTAAATTAGTCTCTCTACTACTACTTAGTTTGCCAGTTGGTGTCATCCTTGTAGATCTCTGGAGATCTCACTAGTGCCAGATCTCCCCTCAAACCTAGAATGGCTCCCTCTATTATGGTATCTCTCATCCTTCTCTCCTCTATTCTTCTCCCAACTCAAACTTCCTGCTCCCCCATGTCCTCCTCTCCCCCTCCTCTTCTCCCCCTCTCTTTTTCCTGGCTCCCTTTCCCCTCCCTCCCAATCTGCTCAGGAGATCTTGTCTCATTCCACCTTCTCTGGGGTACCGTGCATATGTCTCTTAGGGTCCTTCCTGTTTCCCGGACTCTCTGGTAGTGGAATTGTAGACTGCCACTCCCCTGATTCATGTCTAAAATTTATATATGAGTGAGTACATACCATGTTTGTCTTTTTGTGACTGGGTTACCTCACTCAGGATGGTTTCTTCTAGTGCCATCCATTTGTCTGCAAATTTCAAGATTCCATTGTTTTGTTCCATTGAGTAGTACTCCACTGTGTAAATGTACCACATTTTCTCTATTCACTCTTCAGTTGAGGGGCATCTAGGTAGTTTCTAGGTTCTGGCTATTACAAATAGTGCTGCTATAAATATAGTGGAACAGACGTCCTTGTTGTATGAATGTATATCTTTTGGATATATGCCTAAGAGTGGAATTGCTGGGTCTTGTGGTAGATTGATTGCCATTTTCCTGAGGAATCTCCATACCTATTTCCAATAGACAGGTAGACCAATGGAATCGAATCGAAAACCCTGATATTAACCCACACACATATGAACATTTGGTTTTTGACAAAAAAGTTAAAATTATACAATGGAAAACAGAAGGCATCTTCAACAAATGGTGCTGGCATAACTGGATGCTGGCATGTAGAAGACTGCAGATAAATCCATGTATATCACCATACACAAAACTTAAGTCAAAATGGATTAAAGACCTCAACATAAATCTAGTCACACTGAACGTCTTAGAAGAAAAAGTGGGAGGTACCATTGAGCAAATTGGTACAGGAGACCACTTCCTGAACATAACACCAGAAGCACAGACACTGAGATAGACAATTAATAAATGGGACCTGCTGAAACTGAGAAGCTTCTGCAAGTCAAAGAACATACTCAAAAAGACAAAAAGGCAGCCCACAGAATGGGAAAAGATATTCATTAACCCCATATCTGACAGAGGGCTGATCTCCAAAATCTACAAAGAACTTAAGAGATTTTTTTTCTGGAAATAGTTTTAAGATGTAACTTATATGAGAACTACAAGAAAAATTTAATCTATGTTCTCCTGATAAGATTTTTTAATGTCTTCCATAAATTAAGACTTTTGAACACAGGATATGACAAAACTTCATCTAGTATATAGAAAAAAGAGAAGAATAGAAGAAATTCATTCTAGCTGGATGGGAAGGTGGGCAATAATTTATGTAGGGTTTAAGATTCTAGGAAGGAAATTGGGATGCAAAGCTATTTAAGAATAATGGAGTTTACTTAAGTAAAAACATTGGTAGTTCAGTGTTTATGTTGATTTGGGAAGGTTTTTTATTATATCTTGAACACTGACTGTCTTAAATCATTTTTATGTTACACAATTTAACAACATTATTCAGAAATATTAGTTCTAGTTATAAATGAGAAAACCTAACTTTTGATTGATGAACACTATCGTCCAATATCACATACCAAGTAGGTCAATTGGGACAGGAAGGCAACAACGAGAGTAAAGTACTGGGAAGACAGGTTCATAGAAGATGTATCTTGGGATACATTGGCCCTTTCCATCACTCAAACATCAACTTGCCTTCCTGTTGTTGGGGTGGGTAACCAGAATGCTGTTATTTGCATAGTCCTCCATTCCAAAATTCCATCTGGTCATGTATTTCCTCACAGAGGGCCAATGTGTAAGCACTGCTTTCCCCACTAACACCCCCATACAAAAAATGACATGATTTTGTCATCATACTGAGAATAAATTGCTTTAGTCATTATTATTAAGCTCATGCTACTGGAAAATTTGGACCTTACTTGAAGTGATGAATGATCTTTCCAAACTAGAGCCCTTAGTTCAGATAAGGAATCTCATATACTATAGTGCCTCTGAGTAGTCTGCAGCTGGGTTTCACACCATCCTGTTCTCAATATAATTTAACCCAAAGTTGGCTTTTTCAAATACCACAGTGAATCTAAAATCATAGTATAAATGATTTCAAAGTTACTTTTTTGGGGGTGGTTCGAGACAATGTTTCTCTGTGTAGTTTTGGAGCCTATCCTGGCACTCGCTCAGTAGAGCAGGCTGGCCTCCAATTCATAGAGATCCGCCTGCCTCTGCCTCCCGAGTGCTGGGATTAAAGGCTTGGGCCACCACTGCCCGGCTCAAAGTTACTTTTTAAAATTGCTTCTTTATCTACTTACTTCAATACTGAAATGTATTGATAAATAAAAAAGGAGAGAAATTTGAGGTAAGATCCTAGAGGGAATTTCTAAGGAGAATATAGAAGGTTTATTTTAGGGTCCTTGGGCAAGCAGCTTAGAAGTCGTAAAAATTTTTGCACTGCAAAAGCAAGGCAAAAAAGAAAAAGAAGTGCGATCAACAGCCATGCTGAAAGTTATGGAAGGAGGCAGGCTTTTTCAAGTTCCTCTTGCTAACATTTGCTTTCTGGTTAACACACCGCTGCCAAGCATTGCTATGAATGTGTCGTACCTATGGTAGAGGGAACTAGATGACTGCTTCTTTTAGAGTACGGTAAAGCTGGTTAGAACTGGGAAGAGTATAAAAGATAGATAAACTACAAATGTTAACTTAAAATGAATTATTTTTGTACAGGGGACTATTTTTTAACAGTATAGGTTAAAATGGATTTTCATTGTATCCGCACTACAACTGGGACTCAAGACAACCTGCTCCCCACTTTACCTTAAAAGGCTTTCATTACTGAAAGGAAGTTGAACTGCATTACTTATTTATCATTTTCCTCAGTCCCTTTATAAACATGAGCATGTTCACATTTGTCTTCACTTGGTTACTTCTTGGTCTTTTACAGTGAAAAAGAGGGCAGGGAGAATAAGGTGTGCCTTTCAAGATTTCGTCTCTTCAAAGACAGAAAGAACTGAAATGCATCCTCCCAAAGTCTATGAACAGAATTTTACTGAAACTGATTTTGGTGAGACTTTGTGGGTGTTCTTGGGGATTTATTATATCTAAGCCACCGCATGAATTGAACTTAGAAGCTTCGTAAGAACTTCCCATTAAGAAACATACATTAAGAAGATTGGAAATGGAAATTAGCATCTGTCAGTTTATTAAGGTTTCAATAATCATAAACTGTGCTTGAAAAAATAATAAGAGGACAGTTGTATTCTTTCCATAAGTAAAAATATTCCAAGGACAAACTAATTTATAGTCCCAATTCATACCACAGGGAAGGAGCTGTCTTTTAACAGTGTATTTGTGATGTAATCATTGTCTATTGCCATGTGGGTGAACCTTTCACAGACGAATCTTGACAAGCATGTGGACAGCTGTCCTCTGGGGGTAAGTAGCAATGAGGCTTGGAGATCTTACATTCTTGCAGAAAAGTTCCCATTGCCCTCAGTGGGACTTATTACCAAAGGGAAGTTGGATTGTAATGTTTTCAAGGCAGGGAGAAATGTATGCTCAGACAACCTTGGGACAAGTAACTTCTCTTTCTCAGTGTCTTGGCATTCAATTAGTCCCTAGAATGCTAGAACTATCCTAGGGACAGAAGTGAGTTAAAATTTTTCCACTAACTTGCTTGACAGAAGCTTTTAAATAGATTATCTGCCAATATCAACTATTAGTATATTTTCAATATTATAATTTTGGTCAATAGTGTATTTTCTAGGTAAGAGATATACAGCTTCCACACAGCTTCTGTTCTACAGTGTTTTAACTTAAAGAATTTTAGGAGAGTGTTACATAATGCCATTGGATAAAAGATTAGAAAAGGCAACTTCTAACTTCTCCCTCCGAAGTTTCAGCATGGGGATGCATCTGTACAACCACTTCAGAAACATTTGGCTTTTTATGTGGCAGAGAAATGTCTGAGTTAAATGCTCACACTTGATTTCAACAGACGGGATACTCCGGCTTTAGACACACTCAAACGTGGACCTCTTGATCCTTTGATGGTATAAATACATACTGGACACTTGGGAACTAATTAACCTAAAATCTGGTTATGCTGTTCAGCAGGCAGGGCTTGGGTACAGCTTCACTGTAGAATAAAGCAAGGTGATAACTCAATTATCGGATCACTCAGGAATACTGCTTTGAGTGGACACCCAGCTCCTGCTTAATGACTTTAACTCGTCTCTGAAAAAGCCACCAGTACCTAAAATACCATTAATTAAAAAATAATGTCTTATTAGTTTTCACAGAACCATATTCGAGGAATTGCCTCCCAAGCCATAGACAGAGGCAAATATGCCAGCAATGTCAGACAATTATTATTCTAAAGTTAATAAATAAAGCCTCTATTTAAAGTGCAAAATAAGAACTCACAAAAGTCAGGGGGCTTCCCATAGGTTGGTGGTAGGTGTGAAGAGGGAGAGAGGGCGGTATTATTCTTGGACAAGATGAAGTACTTTGTTGGTTTACTCAATGAATTTTCGAATTGTGTGCTGCTGCTAATCAGCCCATGCCTAATGTGCACTTAAATGATATTAGAGGTCTTGGAATATGACTCAGTAGATGAGGTACTTGCCATGCAAGTGTGAGGCCCTGAGTTTGAATTCTAGCATTTACATAAAGTCATAAGAGATAGTGGACATACTGTAGTACTAGCTCTTCTATTGGGAAATGGGAGTCAAAGACAGGATAATGCCTGACAAATTCGTGAGCCAACTACCCTGTTGTATAAAAACAAGAAGCCCTGTCTCAAACATGATGAAGGCAAAGACCAACGCTCAAGGTTGTCCTCTGACCTTCAAGAACACATCCGCATTCACTTACTGAGTGTACACACACACACACACACACACACACACACACACACACACACGTGCATGCATTATATTGATTCTTGTGTTCCATTTAAAGATGGTGGTAGAGTCCAAAAGCATACCAAAATTTGAGAACTTTGAACAGTATTCACTAGGTGATGAGTGATTATGAAGGCATTTATACCTAAGTATTCATTATGTAGGATGTCTCACTATAACCTTAGCCTATGTGATGATTAATCTAGGTTGTCAACTTGACTGGATCTGGAATCAACTAAAACTCAAGTCTTCGGGCATCCCTGTGAAGGCCTTTCTTAATCACAGCATCTGAAGTTGGAAGAATCAACGTAAATGGGAGCAAGGAAGAAGGAAATGTTGTTATTTGCCTGCTTGCTTGTACTCTTACTGAGAAGTTCATCTCCTGTTGCTGCAAAATTAATCATCAATAACACACAGCTCCTTCAGGATTCTATTGTAGACTGAAGGCCAACAGCTCTCCATGAATCCCCTAGGCCTTCAGCACCAGACTGGCACTGCTGAGATTTGCAGAATGAACAAATAGTGCAACCTTAGCCTATCCTGTGTGAGAAAGCCGTTCCTGGATTACCTGGACCATTTCATGTAAGCCAATATAGTAAATCTTCTTTTTAAAGAAATGGCATAAAACAATTACTCAGACGTAGATTTCTGAAGTCAGACATTGTGAGGAATGCTGCGTTCAGGTGAGAGGCAACATGCCAATCATATAGATTTTATGAACAAGCACAGGGTTTTATTAATAAATAGGGAGAAGAAAAGACCATAGCAAGCATGTGTGGGATTTCAAAGTTGTCCAACAAAGCCATGACAACTTGGGTTCCTAAAGGGAGGAGAGATGCTATACAGACATGGCGTATGGTTAGGGATAAAACCTTTATGACTGAATCAGCTGCCACACTTGGTGCAGAGATGAAGATGAAGCATGGGGCACAGGCTGGTGAAGTTTGGATTCCTGTTCCCAAGTGTGGACTGGATAGAGTTAAGCAAATGGTCCCTGTTTATTCTGTCCCAATCTTTCCTTAAGCATTTGCATCTCAAAAGTCTGAAAAATCAAGTTTGCCTTCAAAGGAACCATTTCAGATCAATAGTTTTGATGACAGTGCATCTTTTCATGGAAAATCTTAACCAAAACTATTCTGCCTGGGAAGGTGAGAACTTCACAAATGCTCCAAAATATGCCAACCACGAGGTGTCTTCTGTCTCATGCTCTTTGTCAGTGACATCCCTTTCTCAGAGGCAAGCAGAGGATTCAAAGCACTTGAACTCCCACGTTCTCCTCCTCACAGAACCTGTCTGACTTGAATATTAGGACAAAATTCCCTTTTTCTCAGCTTCCTATTCTAAGGGACCATTTTAAGCTCTGAAGCTTAGGGTGTAGACATTCCTGTTTTTTTTTTTCCTTAAAATCACTGTTATTACTCCTCATGGCTTTGCTTGAATTCTACAGTTTCATCAAGAACTATTGTGTAGTTTAAAGTTAAAACAACAGAAAAACATTTGTGTGTGTCTGTGAGTTTTTTTCCAATCAACTTACTCAGACATTGATGGAAAACACTCATAAACTGGTAGGTTTTTTTTCCTTCATGGATGAAAAGATTTTTAGTGTGACAGAAACTTTCCTTTAGCATATTATCTTTAGAATTCCATCATCATTCCTGGTTCATCTTCACTTTCTATTTCTATCATACAACTGAAATGATTTGGTGGGATTTTCTTCCCTGTTAAATATACCATCCCTTTTTTTCTAAATCATTGCAATTGAGCATGTCATTTATCCTTCTGCCCATTTTTCTTATATTAAAAGGTCTCCTGCTGGAATTTAATTTCAAGTTAAATCTTTACCCCACCCTCAGGCTGTGAGACTGAATTAAATAAATCCCCCTAAAAGTAATAAACCACTCTTAGCTGTGGTCTTGTGATATCAGTTGTCAGCCTGTCAGAGCAAATCTGAGTGTTAAATTCACCGCCTTTGCTAGCAAGGAAGGAATCAGAACACCCAAACCCAGGATATCAGAAGACTGACGTCTTTCCCACCTCTTCTCCTCTGTGATACTTAAGTATTGAAGATGATTTTTATGATGACACCCCTTTACAATTTGTATTGATAATAAAACTCCCAGGCTCAGTTACAGCTGTTACAATATATTTAGTCACACTGCAAACTCGGGTGATCTGGGAACAGGAGGTAAAATTACTTCCCTTTGGAGACAAGTGTAGAGCAGGAGCATCCTGGTGGAGACAGATGGAGTCCAGGTGAGTCAGGACTGTCCATATCAAACCCTGGAAGGCAAATCCTTTGAGAAAATGAAATAACAATCAATGATATATCACAGATTTATTATAAAAATAATTGTAAGGAGATTGGTTCACTGAAAATAGCTAATCCCTCACACATGAAAAATAAAACAAAACACCACTTTGTAAAGAAATTACTACCTTCTTTCAATACTCTGTTCATGATGCAGGGACACTGGGAAAACACCCCTGACTGATTTACGGGTGTGGTGAATAAGAGATGACAAGTGGTTTCAAGGTTTCAAATCTGTTAGCTTGCCATTTGGTGGACCAATTTAAAAATACTGGTCTATCCTTAAAACAGCAAAATTTTTCCAAAAGGAAAATCTTTAAAGTAAACAGAGAACTAAGCAAACAAATCAATAAACATTAGTCTTTCCACATTAAAGTCTGGAGAATTAAGATTGCGTAAATATTCCCATATCAATGCTGTCAATGATTTGGTGGTTTTATAGAGCAGGACGACCCCTAGCTTTGCATCCACCTTTCCATGGACAATTGAGATACTGCCTTCTGTGGCGACTTAGCTGTAGAAATTTCCCAGAGATGGAGAGTTGAACAGTTGTATGAACAGGATTTTAGTGAGAAATTCTGAAGTATAGAAGATGATACACATCTCCTAGTAAGTTATTATAGTTGCAAGTCTCAGCTTCCTGTGGATGTCTTTATCCATTGGAACAGCAGGCATAGTTGTAGCACTAATAGCTTGATGATTCCCCAGTCCCTTCCTCCCACCACTGAAAACATTCTTATTTTCCCCAGTTTGGAAACAGAGAGTTCCAGGGAGAACATAGTCTAGTGAATAGATCTCCCAGCTAGTTTGAAGCAAATATTGGCAATAGAATTATGACACTTGACTTAAAATATGTTCAAGCCTGATATAAATTTGTGCACCCTTTGTTTCCATAAAGAGATCAGTTATAAAATAATTTTGAGGTTCTTGTAGCAAATCTCCAGGGAATCATATGTAGCTCTCTGTAGAGTGGGATTTTAAGACAGCGGGGAAGGCTTTTATATCTGCAGTGCCATTATTTCGATAGAAGGCAGAACATTTTGTAATGTTAAACATGGACCTTATGTTTAAATTTTTGCAATTCATGTTTGTTAGAATCTTTTTAAAAATAAATCTGAATTTGTTATATATTATTTTTTGGATTTTATTGGCTTATTTAAAAAACAATCTCCAAAAATGACTTGCTGAAAGCTGCAGGTGGTTGGGGGAGGGGACTTGAAGTCTAGCCTTCAGCCCAGCCTTTCTTCTGTCTGCTGCAGTTTACTTATCTATACATTGGAGATCTGATGGTTTTACTCATGGGGCTGCAGGAAAGATGAACAAAGCTTTGTGATGCCAGCCAGCCTAAGGTCCTTTCTTTCAGCTGAATCTGCTGTACATTTTCTCCATGTGATAACCTTAAGAGGTTCCCTAAAACTCCTGTAGAAAAGATCTTCCAAAAACTAAGTAAATAGGATACTTGTTTTTGGGGACATAAATGACAGTTCGAATAAAAGGTGACATGGTTAAAATATTGGAGTTTTCTTGTTAAAAAGTAAGCTTCAGATCATGAACCTGAAGTTGTGTCTTGATGAATTTTTGCAAGGTCACACACAATTCAGTTAAACATGTCAGCCTTTGTTTCATGTCTTTATTTGCTGAGCAGTGATCTACTATCTGTTTGCTAGACTCTAGGATTTCTGTCTTGCCTTAGGGGACTAAGAATGAGTAATACAATAGAGAAGCTAATCACTATACAGCCGAGAAAGTGGATAAGCAACTTCAACAGACAGTAGGGTTGCATAGATATTGTATGAATGGCACTGTGGGAGTATATAGTCAGCAAGGCACCTGTAGCTCTCAGGCCATTGCCCTGTCTGAACTCTTGCTCCACAAGTGACTTTTGCAACTGTCACTTCCATCTTTACATTTGGTTTCCAGTTTGTTTAATATGTACTTTTTCTCTGTTGGGGGAAACAATCTCTCTAAAACAACCTATGAAAGTTCACATGTTGATGAACTGGTCTTTAGTGCAGTGGACCAAGAGGATCTAATGTTTTGTGGATCAATGGGCTCCTGGGAGGTACCAGAAACTTCAGGAGGTTCAGACTAGTTGGAGGAAGTAGATTACTGGGGATGCACCCAATAATGGTGTATTTGTCTCTTGCCCTTTCTGGCTTCTGGCTACACACGGTGAGCAACTTCACTCCACTATATGCTTGCTTTTGTGGTGTTCTGCTCACCACAGGCCAAGAAATAATGAGTCAAGTGGTTAGAGACAGTGGAACTGAAATTCAAAGATACAACTTGAAGTTGTTTTGTTGCAGTGACAGGAAGCTGACCAGCACAGGAAATGGAGAAATGAAGGCATATAATACTCATAGGAGATATTTGATGATTTCACAATGCAAACGACTTCAATAGAAAGCTGCCCATAGCTGTGCAGTTCAGAAGCCCAGAGAAAAAACATTATTGTAAGTGACTCAAACCACTTTCGTAGCTGGTATTTGTTTGTTCTGAGATATGTTTTTTATTCAATATTCTGGGACATTTTGCCCTGTTACTTGATGTCTCATACATTTATGTGAAAACGAAATCATATTAGAAAGTATCAGTTGACAGAGCTGGGAGTGCCCTTATATTCGCCAAAATAATGGCAAGGATAATGGTCACTGAGTACCAGCCCCTTTTTCTAGAGAGTGACACCTGCTTACTGAACAGCACTGACCACACCTAAGAGTCAATGTCTTGAGGCAGTGCTTTTGAGTGTCACCTTTGTGGTAGGAGAGACAAATTTTGCATGATAGCCATCAAATTAGAGAATAGTTTCTGTACTTGGTGTTTAGAGGAACAATGTGACTTTCTTGAGGTTAATTCTTAAGGCAGAGAAGAAAATACTCTATTATTTAAATTTTAACATTTATTTTTAATTATGTACAAGTGTGTATGTGTGTATGTTTGTGTCTGTCTCTCTGTCTGGCTGTCTGTGCAGTTGTGACCGATTACATTTTACCTTGCCTGAGGCTCTTGGGTATGATGAGTAATCTTTTATTTTGAAAATAAGCAGTAAAACTCCCCTTTCTCCTAAGGCAGTTCCTTGCAAAGGGACATGGGTAGGAATTTTTGACATGTTACAATTTAATTCCTTTATTTTACAGAAAAAACATATTATCATTTTGAAAACTCATCTGTCAGTTTTCAGACACATCACCAGTTTAGAGGCTAAGGATACTTCCTTAATCTGCAGATGGGATGAAGTGCTTCCATGTGGGTAAAGAAAATAAGAGTTTTAATC